TTGGTCAGTTGATAACTACCTAAAAAGGAAAACACCGTATCATTATAGGCTAGCGCCTCGATATCGGATTTTCTTTCAGTTGAATTCGCTTTTTTCCTCCATTTCCTCTTCCTCTTGCTACTTATCTGTTGATGTAATAATAATAATAGTAGCTATCATCGTTATCGTTATCATGTTATGTTAACAATCGAACTATCGAATGCTAGCAATGCGACTGGCTCCCACTGCACAGCAGCTGTGAGTGCTATCAACGATATGCTATTGTGCACGCAGTGTCTAATTTTTCTAGATCATTTACTTTTCGGCCACGTCCTCTTTGCCTCTCACCTCGTCTCTTCCCTGTAGTCAAGCGTGAGAATCGGCATTTTGCTATCATCGACCAATCTCCAACGAAAATACTGTTTGGGTCAACGTGATTTTGGGTTAACTGGTCAACTGGGTCTAGTAGGAATGGTCAGACTTTTTGACCTGATGCGACCCAGCGATTGTGTTCGTTCGATATGATCGAGGCGCGAACAAACCATGGTTCGCGCATTGACTGCATCTACACAGCGGGAAAATTATACTGCCAACACATCATGACAGTGTGACCCTAACAGCCAGCTTGCTCACCTATTTCGTTTCGCGCTACCTAGCGTGTTTCCTCTACTTGTATGCGTCTTTATATAGGTAGATACGCTGTGTGACCCGTACTCATCTATGTCCTGTAGAAGCCTATCCATATGCCTGTTCGTATCGATGCATGTACGTTGTCATGCTTAGATCTGTATACGGTTATAATATTATTATAAGCTTAGTATATGTGTCGCCGTCATCAGGGATGAGTTTTGTTGCGATTCATTTTTATTCCAAACCTTTGCTCTCCCGCCCGCTTGCTTTGAGATAGCATAGCTACTCAAACAAATAGTCGAGCTTGCTCAGTGAATGATGAAGGTTTATAGGTTTGTTCTATTACCAAAAAAATGGGTGCTAATATTCCGTCTACGCTACGAATACTTCAAATATGCCTACAAGTCAACGGGTCGTTGTGATGCCGTTGTATGATATTCGTCACCGTGGCAGTCCAAATTAGCAGCCACTACTTAAACCTTCTGTCGGTACGCAGCCACAGTGGCCTACTTAGTCAGTCAATCATTTGAAACCGAAGGTCCTGCAAAGGTTTATTAACATTTTGCTCGATTTTCAAACGAGCTGCGATAATGATGTTTGTTTTTTGTCTTTCCTCTACCGTAAGCGGGCGCTTATGTATAATAAAACAATCTGAATCCATGACTCATATATATATATATATATATGTGTGTGTGTGTGCTTATTTAGTTAAGGAATTTTTGTAGCTGTTCTTATAATTTACTATCATGTTTATATCACTACTCTTATCGTCGTTTCGGTACGTTATCATAATTATTGTTTATATTTTTTTGCTTTATTATAATCTAAATTGAAATCTAGGTAAGGCAAACAACAAATTCGTAATCCATTGCATTAATAGTATTAATAATAATATTATAGCAATTATAAGTCAACAACAAGAAACAGGTACGCAGCAACAAAACCTCACCGGGCCCGACTTGTCGATCATCCCGACTGTTTTTAATACATTCTAATGACAATAGGCTTAACTATTTTCCTGGCCAATTTTGAATGTTACGAAACTTTTCAAAGACGCGAAATACCGTACGTCTTTTTAATTCCAGAAGTTAGAAGTTAATACCCGGCTTTTCTAGGTCCCTGGTTGCTGAGGTCGATAGCCTAAGCGGTTTTCAAAACAATTAAACAAAGTACGCTTCAGCGCGTCCGTTTCTAATAGTTACGTGCGCTTTGACGCGCGAGGCTTTCGGATACGATCGACACGTTTGTCGGGCCCCACATTTCGAGTATAGTTGCCTAGAGAGTGAGAAACTAACGTCATCTTCGTCTTCTTCCGCGTTAGCCTTCTCGTCACTATATTATGTCTGAGGGGTAAGCGGGACCAGGCGAAAGGTTTGCAGTCGCCACCAGTGGGCAGACTGAACCAAGCCCGCAACCAATCAAATGCCCCTGCACGAATTGTGCTCTATCGCTGGAATGAAGAGGTCGACATACGGACAACCATGTTTATCTTCTTTGCCCCTCGGTCCCAACAAGATGATGCCCATATCACCAGCAGTGTAGCATTATCGGTTATTGGTCACTTTTAAATATTCACAGTTATATATTTGCGTAAGTGAAGTTATGGACTATCTAGCTCCTGTTCTTAGTTTTATGAGTAGTGTAGTTACGGCCATGACATCGTTTGATGTACCTGTTGGTCTACCTGCAAGTAGGTCATTGTGCAAATAGGGCTTACACGATGAAATGTATCGTTCCTTGGAGCTTGGTCAGCTATGTATGATAATATTTAGTGTTGAGCGCGTGTAGTATGTATTTGGTCAGCTGAAGCCGCCGCAGCCGAATTTTTTTCCATAATTTCATTTGCAGATTGACCTGTTGCTGCATTGTCAGTTAACTACTATTGTTCGTTTAGAGAACCATTAAGTGAAAACACCGATAGGGGCAGGCGTGAGCTGTGGATGGGCGGGTACGAAGCGGAGTAGTAATTTAGGTAATGCTCATTTCGATATCTGGCAGGGTATTAAGATGTATAAATGAACGCCGAAAGGGAAAGCTAGGGTTTTGCCAGGTCGTTCCAGGTAGACACCTTCAATGATCAGCATAGCTTCGTTTCTATAGTGCGATGCCAGACCCGCGATGGCAACTCACAATACTCGATAGTACAATTGAAACAATACATCTAGCAACAATAAGCGTTGATACTAAGCAAAAGTGCGTGTCTCGTGATCTCGTACGTATCTTCTAGTGCTATATGCAATTGCTTTTTCCCGTTCTACTTTTTGTTGTTAGCGTAGACATTTATAAGTCGGTAACCATACGAAGCGTCTCTGGCCAGACACCCATTGTATATCTATTGGAACTGTTACGTGTTACCTGTTTAATTTCAATATGTCGTATTAGTAATAGTTGCTTTTTAGCAGGTTGCCACATCATTCTCTCGCAGAGTTCTAGACGCACTCGTGCGTCAGGCATACACGTACATCATATAGACATTATCGTGCTTATAGTTTATTATCAATAGATTATTACTGCTGCCATATATAGCGTTCGATTGATACTTTCGGACGTCTCATTCTTTATTCCAGGATGATCGACTGGCATTTATCTAAGTCAGTAGCATTATAATAACATTGTAGTATTATTTTTTCATTGTTATTACTTCCAGTTGTTATAATCACTGTCATGGTCATTAATGTTAT